AAGAGGCTGAGAACCGTGTCTGCAAGTGACTGTACGATCAAGACACACCGCATAGACTCCAGGGGCAGGGATGGTGGTCAACGACATGGCAAGGCCGGTGGACATGATGGTGCCACGGATGCTGTTTACCAGGGTTTCTTTTAGGGACTCCTATTGTGGGGGATGCTCACATCCTGCTCTATAAAGCCTGTAATGTTTTAATTCTTTTACAGAAAAGAAAAAGGCTTTACCTCATACGGTTATGGGGAAAATTAAAAGGAATTCCAGATGTGAGGCGTTAAACTCTCACATCTCTTCCTCACCACCCAGCCGCCTTCTCCCAGCAACTTCGTAGAGCTGTACGCTTTATCTGAATATTTGAAGAAAATGATATATTTCTATTAAAACCAGCATGAATATATTATGGAGTCAGACAGAAAAATTCATGAATTTTTAAGATAGAACAGGAGACTTGAAAGAAATTTCATCTCTGCTGCTCCAGGGCATGCGTTACTCTTGTTAGGGATACTTCAGCAGAAAAGTTGCAGAAGATCTGACGTGGGTCCCGGGAAGGCACCGAAAGCTTCCTTGCTGATGACTGACAGGGTTGGCTTATGTGTTAGAGAAACCTCTCTGAAGGCAGCGTGGTGAGGTGGGAGAAATGGAGGCGAGGTTCCTGAGCTTGGCCCTGGGTAGTAATTGTACGCGTTGGCTCCTGGATCCAGAGCCTCCTGGGTGCTAGGGAATCCACATGCGTTTCTCTGCAGGTCCCCGACAAGCCCATGTTACCAGAGGAGAGTGAGCCTCAGGGAGCTAAAGAGCTCTCAGCCACATGGCCTGCTGAATCTCGCCACCCTGCCCCTTCTGACAAACCGTCCCCATGCTTGCACCTTCTGGCCTTCCCCAGCTCCAACATGACAGGCTCCCAGGGGCCCTGTGGCCTGGTCACCTGAAAGAGGCCACGCTGCCTGAGACGCCCGGCAGGGTCCAGGGACCCGGCCCTGGGCTCCCTTGGCCCTCGCCTGCCCCGACCCGAGCCCGCACTCCCAATGCACCCCATCGGTGACCCACCCCTGACAGCACAGTGTCAACCACTCCGCGTCTGACTCCAGAGACGGCGACCTCATGGTGTTTCCAGAGGGACACACAGCAATGAGTTTCTAGTGGTCGTGGCTGACCCTGAAGAGAAGGGGGTGTTCTCAAACCCAGAGTGGAGATGAGGCTCACGGGACCCTGAAAAGCCTGGCCCGACAGCCTTGTGTGGCGGGGGAAGGGTGTGACCCCGGGTCACATTTCCTTTCAGGAAGCTGAGCTGCTCCAGAGGCCTCAGAGAGAGAGACCAGTGGCTCCCCACACAGCCCTTCAGCTGCCCCCGCCTTGGGCATCGTAGCTGTGGCTTCTCCCGCCAGATGCCTGCCTGCAGCCCAGGAGCGAGCACTGATGTGGGGACTTGAAACGCCCCTACTTATCGCCGAGGAAGCCGGAGGAGGACGAGGACCCTCTCCCCACGCAGGCTGTGGGTGAACAGGAAATGGCTCCAGCCTTTCTTCCTCTCCGCCTTTGCTTTCTGTTTCAAGTCTGCTTACGAGGGGAAGGTCCTGAATTCTAATAAACCATTTTCTCTCCGTAAGGCAATAGCATTGCTTCCAGGTTCCAGACTAGATCCGGATCCATCTACTTCTGTTTCTTTCCATGCTCTGTCCCCTCGAGCGGGAACTTGGTAGATGTGAAGCTCTGTGGATGCTTAAGAGGCCAAATAGGGTCTCGAGGGGTCAGCGGGGCCACACTTTTGGAGGCCTCAACGACAGCTACACCGGCAGGCAGCCAACCAGTGTTCATTGCCTAATCGTTGATTATGTGCCAGGCATTGTGATAGGTGCTTGGGATGGAGCGTGAAGCACAAAATCTCTACCCTCCTTAAGCTTAAATCTAATTGGCAAGAAAGATATTAAGTAAAATTTTCCTGTAACTCTGGCAGCGTAATAACTGTGCTGCTTATTACGAAGGAGAAGGACATGGTACTGCAGGCACAGGTAAAGAGGATGGAACTTGGCTGGGGGTGGGAGATAGAGTAAGAAACCTTCTCCCCAAGGAAGTAACAATGAAGATAAGACTGCAAGGAGTGGGCTATGCCCAAATGAGGGTGTGGGGGGATGGAGAGCAGACAGCTCCAAACTGAGGGATCAGATTACGGGGAAAGCCCTGAGGTGAGAGAGTGGGTGTGTATAAGGAATTCAAGATGTCCAGGATACTAGAGCAGAGGGGGCAAGGGAGGTACGGAGGGAGGTCGGCAGAAGCAGGGAGGATGTGGTTGGTAGTGGGAAGAAATTCACAGCTTCTGGGCAAGGAAAAGGCACTGGCAGATTTGCATTTTTTGTTCCTTTGTTTGGTTTTGTTTTGGTCACACCCTGTGACTTGTGAGATCTTAGTTCCCTGACCAGGAATTGAACCTGCACCCTCAGCAGTGAAAGAGTGGAGTCCTAACCACTGGACCACCAGGGATTTCCCAGATTTGCATTTTTTTAAAATTTATTTATTTTATTTTTATTTTTGGCTGTGTTGGGTCTTCGTTGTTGCGCACGGGCTTTCTATAGTTGCGGTGAGCGGGGGCTACTCTTTGTTGCGGTGCTCGGGCTTCTCACTGCAGTGACTTCTCTTGTTGCGGAGCACTGGCTCTAGGCGCCCGGGCTTCAGTAGTTGTGGCTCGCGGGCTCTAGAGCGCAGGCTCAGTAGTTGTGACGCACGGGCTTAGTTGCTCTGTGACATGTGGGATCTTCCTGGACGAGGGCTCAAACCCATGTCCCCTGCATTGGCAGGCAGATTCTTAACCACTGCACCACCAGGGAAGCCCCCAGATTTGCATTTTTAAAGGAGCCCCCAGGCTGCTGTGGAAAGAATGGAGTTGGAAAGGGTGGAAATTGATTCAAAGAATCCCTTGGGCTATTGAAATCGTCTGGGTGAGAGACAGTGATGATTTGCAAAGGGGTGGTGGCAGAGAAACTAGAAAAGGGAGGATGAATCAACGAGAGGCTGAGGAGTAATTGGGTGAAAAGTTGGGGCTTGGCTGCATGCGTTGGGTGTGGGCGAGAGGAGAGTCCTGGATGACCCCTACTCTGAGGATTTCCGCAGTTAAGTATTCATTGCTTCCTGAAATGTTCAGCACCAGCTCCCATAAAAGCAGAGATGCTCCATTCAAGGGTGCCATCTTGGATTTCAAGTCCACTTAAGAAGGATGAGAAGTGTGGGACACATAGATGGGGGAAAAGCCCAGCAAGTCCATCTCTAATGTGTGGGGAAAGCCAGAGCCTTCTGAAGGCTGCAGACCCTACCCGGCCACCTGTTCCTGTGAATGGCCTTTCTCAACACCCCTTAATTATAAAAATGGATTAGCATAATTTCTGTGATGAATATTTTGCCATGGAATGGGTGCCATTGTATTCCAAAAACGATCCACAGCAGCAAGGGCTGGGCATAACTTTCCTGCTGGTAGCACTGGTCTTGTGTCTGGAGCTTCATGTTAGTGGCATTCAAAGCAGGATGGTCTGACATTAGGAAGAATTGTCTCTCTAGGCTCAAAATAGTGCAGGGCATTCCAATGCCTCCTCCTTCTGATAGACCTACTCCTACCACTGCCCTTCCTTTTTCTCCTACACTGTCTGCTTCCTGCCTCAAACAGTGGTGGTCACTGGGGGACAGAGGGCTCCCTCCCTTTAGCATAGCCCTCATTTCACAGTAGTCAGGGCGAGTGTTCACTGAGCACTGCATCTGTTAGGATACTCTTGGTTATATATGTTCTTGGCTGGAAAAATCAAATTTGCACAAACAACAAGAAAAGCTATTATATTATGTGATTGGGAGTCCAGAGGGAGAGGGTGGACTTCAGGGTTGTTTGATCCAGAAGCTCAGCACTCATAGCAAGGATTCAGGTCCATGTCTCTGCTCTGCTGTTCAGCACGTCGGCTTCATCCTGAGCTGACTTTCCTCTAGGATGTAGCATGGCTGCTGATGGCATTTGGGACCACCTCCTTCCTTCTGGCAGGAGAGAAGTGCTGCTTCCAGCAGCCCCCCAGGAGAGTACAGAGGAACCTTCTCAGAAGCCCCAGCAAACCTCTCCTGCATCCCGTGTCCTTCCAGAACCAATGATTAGTGAGAAGATTGGGCTCGCTCTGATTGGCTGAGACAAATAGGACTGGAGGTGGAGATGGGGTCACCTTGCCTTGATCACAGGGGCTGTGTGTGGAAGAGTGGACAGCTGGATGGAATCAGGGATTCTTTCAGGAAAGAGCCAGGGAGTAAGAGTTGTTGGGTAAGCAAGTATCAGGCTCTGACTGGGATGGCTACTTCAGGGGCTGCAGGAAAAGAATTGTGATTTTTAAAAACATTTTATTATGGAAATTTTCAAACGTATAAAAAGTAGACAAAACACTGTAACAAATTGCCATGTATGTATTGCCAAGCCTTAACAATGATGAACTCGAGGCCTTTTTCACCTATTTTCCTGCCTGTTTTCCTTTCCAATTCATTATGAAGTAAATCTTGAACATCATATTTCTTCAACCAAAAGTATTTAAGCATGTATCTTTAAAAGACAAAGGCACTTTTTAAAACCAAACCACATCATCATTATCTCACCTAAAATAAGTAACAGTAATTCTTTAACATCATCAAATTATCCAGTCAGGGTTCAAATTTCCAATTGTCTCATATGTGACCAAAATTGTTTTTGCAGGACTTTCCTGGTGGCGCAGTGGTTAAGAATCCGCCTGCCAACGCTGGGGGCACAGGTTGGAGCCCTGGTCCATGAAGATCCCACATGCTGTAGAGCAACTAAGCCCGTGCGCCACAACTACTGAGCCTGCGCTCTAGAGCCTACGTGCCACTACTACTGAAGCCCGCGCGCCTAGACCCCGTGCTCTGCAACAAGAGAAGCCACTGCAACGAGAAGGCCGTGCACCGCACTGAAGAGTAGCCCCCGCAACTAGAGAAAGCCAGCGTGCAGCAACGAAGACCCAACGCAGCCATTAATTAATAAATTAATTTTAAAAAAATTTTTTGCAGTTTGTTCAAAGGTAAATTCTTAGAGATCAGCCTCATCCCACCTTTATCTTACAAGATAAAGACAGAGATCTGGAGAGATTAAATCACTTACCCCAGGGCCCTCAGGTTTTATTTGATTGATTGATAATTCTATCCTGCCTCTTTTCATGAGGTGTTTGAGGCAGGTGATTACATAGTGGAAGACCTATAATTCATTTATTCACTTAGCAAATATTAGTTGACATCAGCTATGTGCAAGGCACTTAATGAGGCCATTGCAGTCAACAGCACTTGGATCTATAATCAGAGAAACTGAGCATTGATTCTAGGCCTTCTGCCTATGACATTAGGCAAGTCTCCCCATCCACGTGCCATGGTGCCTGAAGTCCCCAGGAGAGGCAGCTTTTGGATTAGAGTTGTCCTGGGGACCCTCATGAATATACATACATATTATTCTAGCAGACATTTGTTCTTGTGGGCTGCCCACATTGAACACTTCCTATTTGGGAGGAATTCTAAAATAAGAGGAATCCTAAAATAGGAAAACAGGCTCCACTTTCTACTATAGAAACAAAATTTATGGATGGTCTTTTCCCCACCTCCAGACAGCTGGAGAGAGACACGGGACCTGGTGCTCCAATCCATTGCTGCAGAACTTGACCGTCAATCCTGGAGAAGTGGCCCAGGCCAGCTGGAGATTATCCACAGGTGCCGTGATCACATCGAGTCCAAAGGAATGGTGCCAAGCGTCCAGAGTGACCAGGGGCAGGAACCAAGAAGATGGTTCCCAAGAGTCACCTCTGCTTGGCCTTGTTTCCCACTGAAGCCCGGTTCATGCCCTCTGCCCACACTGTGAATGACGCCTAGCCGTTCAAGTAAGTGACTTTTCTGCTTAGGTGCCTAGAGTCACTTCCTTCTCTGGGCAACCGAAACCTCTAACTCAGTTGAGAATAATCATCTATTAACAACTTAGTTCTTTTATGTTGTTCTGACTTGCCAGCTATTAGGAAACAAAATGAAACACAGGGTAGAGACATTTTGATGGACACTGCCAGGGACATGAGAGGTTCAGAACTCACTTCTATCTAGAAGTCAAGAGTGTTAGCCCAGGACGCTGGGTGACTAGAGGTTGTAGAGAAACCATCACCTCTTTTCCAAATCTGCTCAGGGATGACCCTGAAAAATAGGTGTTTCACAACGATCTGTGCTAATTACAGCACTGTGTCTGGGAGGAGGCGATACATGATTCCCTAGAACCCCAGATGGAGACATCTGCTCCACCAACCCCAGCTGTTTCATTCTTGGCTGGAACTATGGCTGAAGTGCTCGGAGCAGAGATGGGCAGGATGGCACTGGGGAGTCTAGCTGCTGTGAGTTCCTGTCTGCCTCAGAGGGAGCCGGGAGGACCTGGGCTGTGCCTGCTCCCCACTGTGGGGTGGGGTGGGCAGTGTCTGTCTAGGCCCTGGGTTCAGCTCCCCCAGGAAGCAGCTCTGCTCCTCCAGGCAGTTCTGCCAGACCCCGAGCTGTGGTATCTGTCAGCCTGGTCTCCGGTCCACAGCTCAGGGGACCTGGCTCAAAATGCCACAGCCCTGGGCTCCTCCCATGTGCTCTTCCACGTTCTAAACCAACATGAAGCAAGACCATCAGCCTGCTGGTCAGAACACCCACTGTCCTTCTCGCCTCACGCAGGAAGTTGCTTCATGAACTCGAAAATGATTACTTGCAGAGATGAGATTTCCTACACTGAGTCTGTAGTTTCCTGTCCTTCGGAGCGTGCCTCCCACCCTCCTTTCCCATGCCTCTCACCACCCGTGTATCTTCCTGGGCTCAGACACCCACTTTCCCTCTCCACCACCTCAATCCTTATTCTTGCCTTACTTTCTCTTCCCTTCCCATTCCTCTGCAAGACTTATTTTCTTCCAAACCCATACTCTTGTGCCCAGTATTATTTGTTGCTTTCCAAAACTATTTCCACTTCAAGAGCAGTTTATGACCACCCCTGGCTCTCTCTCATGCTGAACTATACTGAGGCCCTCACTCCATTTCTTCCCAGTCTGATACTGTTATCGTTGATTGTGTCCCCCTAAAAAAAGATATGTTGATGTCTTAATCCATCCACAGTACCTCAAAATGGATGTTATTTGGAAATAGGGTCATTGCAGATGTAATTAGTTAAGATGAGGTTGTAGTGAAGTAGGATGGGCCCCTACTTATAACGACCCAATCCAACCTGACTAGTGTCCTTATAAGACAACCATGTGAAGACACAGAGACACAGGGAGAATGCCATGTGACAGCAAAGGCAGGTATTGGAGTGATGTCGGTATAAGCCAAGTAACACCAAGGGTTGCCAGCAATCACCTGAAATTAGGAAGGGGCAAGGAATTTTTCTCCTACAGTTTTCAGAGGGAGCGTGGTCCTGCTGACGCCTTGATTTTGGACTTCTGGGTTCCAGAACTGTGAGACAATATGGATCTGTTGTTCTAAGGCATCCCGTTTGTGGCACTCTGTTGTGGTAGCCCTAGGAAACTAATACAAACGCCATCAGGAAGATCCCAGGAACTTCCTTCTAGAGCCTCTTCCGCTACCAACTCTGAGCTTTACCAGGCTCCCAGTTCTTACCTGAAAGTCTCCTTGGAGCAAATAAGAGTGATGTTTCCATAAGTGAAAGAGCTCTCTAGAGGTTTGGATTCTGTGACCCGTAATGTCCGAGGGGGTTGGTTGACCCTCACTGCCCAACTATGTTTCCCCACCCTACTCCAGCTGCTTTTTTCCTTGGACTTCAATCACTTCCTAGCATCCTCGATAAGGCTATTATGGATTATGTGCATGGTTTGCTGCCTGCCTTCCCCCTGCTAGCTTGTAAGCTCCGTGAGGGCAGGGGTCTGATTTGTTCACTGGCACAAAGTAGGCATTCAGTAAACCTTTGTTGAATAAACAAATAACTGAGCGAGGACCTTTCCACCTCTGACCACATAGAAGGGCTACAACTCCTCTGCAGGAGATGGGGGTGGGGGGTGGAGTGGGGGAAGGTGGCAGGGCTAGGAACAGCGAATACCATGTTCGGGTGACTGGGAATGAAAAGGTCATTTTTCACCTGTCTGAGGAATTCAAGAGAGAGATACAGCAAATGCAGGGCCTACCTCGGATCTTTTCCATCTTGCTATCTCAAGTTCCCTACTGCTTGAGGGACTTAACAACCCCTGACTCTCAGTGTGATCCCCCCTGGAGTGACAGAGGCCACCCAGGTGGTTGCCATCCAGCACTCCAGCCTGGGGTTCCCAAGGGCCACCTTGGCCGGCACAACCAAAAGTTCTGATGGCTCCACAATGGAACGGGGAGGCTGTGCAAGAACCCTGGCAGAGCCATGAAGCCCACAAGCTGCATGTTTGGAGGCTGGAGTGTTCTCCCTCAAGTTCTGGACCTGACGCTGCACATGCAATTCAGCCCCTACTCTTTCGAGGTACTGTGCCAGATGTGGTGGTAAGGGGGGTGATGGAGGACATCGAGATAAATAAACTTGAGCTGAAATGATACAAATGAACTTATTTACAAAACAGAAACAGACTCACAGATTTAGAGAACAGAATTTATGGTTACTGAAGGCTGGGGGCGGCGGTGGGGGGAAGGGTGAAGGGAAGGGATAGTGAGGGAGTTTGGGATTGACATGTACACACGGCTGTATTTAAAACTAATAACCAACAAGGACTTTCTGTATAGCACAGGGAGCTCTGCTCCCTGTTATGTGGCAGCCTGGACGGGAGGGCAGCCTGGGGGAGAATGGATACGTGTATATGATGGCTGAGTCGCTTTGCTGTGCACCTGGAACCATCACAGCCTTGTTAATCAGCTATACTCCAATACGAAACAACAAGGATTTTTAAAAGAAAGAAATAAAAAATAAACCAGAGCCTGCACTCTGAAGACGGTGAAGGCCTGTCTGGTTGGGAAGCTAAGACTTGTCCATAGAAACACATTAACATCTCCAGGTGCCATGGAATCAGGCAGCTTGGGAGGCTACTGGAGCTCAGAGCAGGAAGACGTCAGTATGGGTGAAGGGAGAGAATGATTGTTGGATGTCAAGGGACCTAGAACCAGGCCTTGAAGGAAGAGGAGGAGTGGAAAGGCATCTCACAGGGCTGCAGTGTGAGCAGAATTGTGAGCTGGGGCTTGAGCATGAGTTTAAAAGACAGTCAGCCCCTGAGCAGAGAGTGTATGAGCCAGCTAATAATTCCAGGCAGACAGCACCAGGGGGACGTCAACAAACGGGTCCTGATGTCCAGAGAGATGCAGAAGGGGTGGGTTCTGAGTTAAAGAGGGAAACACCAGCCTTTAAGCCACTGGGATAAATAACATCCTGATAGTTTGGTAATGGGTGCTTCAAATAAAATACAGTGACAGAGGTAATATAGTATCAGTCAAGTTATCATTAAAAATACCAGAAGGCAGTCACTGGCAGCGTTGGACCAGAAATACGATTCCCTTGAGGAGCTGACGTCACCCACTGCTGGCCTCTTGTTCTCAGGCTGGTTTGTGCTTGTTTATTCTCTGGAGTCTGCAGGGTGAGATGGGCTATTTAGGTAGTAGCTCAAGGGGGACCCCTCTGAGAGCTCACCTGAGCACACCTTCCCCAGTGGCCTTTTGGGAAATGGACAGTGTAAGTTTAATGGAGGGGATGTGATGGGAGAAGAAAATCAGCAGTGAGGAAATGATCTTGTGACAGTTAATATGGAACCAATTTCCAAGAAGAGATGAACGTGTGCCACCAAGGTGGACAGGATAGAATAAATGGATACAAGTCTTAAAAGCTGTTAAATCAACCATCTTCACAGTAGGTAATTTCTTTTCTTTAAAATGACAATTATAGCCAAATTGATAACATACTAGAAAAGTTAATTGACGTTTTAGATGTCACCCCAAGGCAAAAAACGAGAGAAAATACATTGCTGGCTTAGGCTTCTTCCACTGAAGTTTGTCAAGATGGCATTCCTCTTGGCAAATGAAGTACCTTCATTTTTCCAGACTCAACTCGTCCGTCTTCAATTTCAACTCAATTTGTTCAGCTGCTGTGTCTCTGGGTTCCTTTCTCCTCCCCCCCCACCACCCCGAGGACAGGCTCCATCTAGACGCTCATTTGATCGTTAGGTGTTGAATGGCTGCCACTTTCGCCACTTCCCGGCAGTCTCAGGGATCCCGTGTGTGAAAAAGTGGGCCAAATGTGTAGATCTCCTCTGTCACCCGTATCTCTCATGACTCTGCAAGTAGACAGAAGTGGAGTTTTTAGATGGGGAGTGGGGTGAGATTGCGGGGCTTATGTGCTAACCCCTGTCTGAAAGGTCTGTGCAGATTGCGTGGTGCAGTGCTTGGCACATAGTAGCCACCCATACATACCCGCTAGCTTCCTGAAATGACCAGAAGTAGTGGGGGAGCGACGGAATACAGCAGAGACATGTCATACACAGAGGCAGACTTACAAAATTCAGCGATAAATTGCGGGGCCAAGAAAGAGGGGCAGGGGGATTTTTAAATGGCCATTTAAGTCCTTTCAGTGCCTCTGCCCGTGAGTCCCGCACTGATGTGAGGGAGGCGAGAGAGATGGGGCTCTGCTCCGCCCTCAGGGTCTCAGCTTCTGCCAGCGCCTCCCGGTGTGAGCTCCCACTGCTAAGTATGATCCTCGAATTTAAAGAAATATACTTTTTATACAGTATAGTGCTTAGAAGTAAGCCAGCCCCACATCTAGTGTTTGACCAAAGAAAACACCAATTTATCCTTACTTGGCCAGAAGAAAAATGTGGTTTTCCCACTGGATGTTTTCAGAGATGGTGCGTTGGTTTGCAATGTGGCACCAAAATACCACCCCATAAGCAGTACCCAG